ACATGGGGAGAGATAGCCAGACATGGGGAGAGATAGCCTGACATGGGGAGAGATAGCCAAACATAGGGAGAGATAGCCTGACATGGGGAGAGATAGCCAGACATGGGGAGAGATAGCCTGACATGGGGAGAGATAGCCAAACATAGGGAGAGATAGCCTGACATGGGGAGACATAGCCAAACATAGGGAGAGATAGCCTGACATGGGGAGAGATAGCCAGACATGGGGAGAGATAGCCAGACATGGGGAGAGATAGCCTGACATGGGGAGAGATAGCCTGACATGGAAGGAGAGATAGCCAGACATGGAGAGAGATAGCCAGACATGAGAGGAGATAGCCTGACATAGAAAGAGACAGCTAGACACGGACAAAGATAATGCTACATGGGGAGAGATAGCCTGGCATGGAGAGAGACAGCCACACATGGGGAGAGATAGCCAGACATGGGGAGAGATAGCCAGACATGCGCTGTCGGGCGGCTGAGTACAGATGGCCCCCCTCACCATCACTCACACTGCGTTATCGCCTAGATCACACGCTGTTACGGCATCACGCGAGCTCACGACTGTTAATCAGCGTATCGCCTCGTATTGTAAGCCCTTGTGCAACTTGCTGCTAAGCCACAACACACTATGACCGCCGCGGTGATTTCTCACCTCTCCACGACAACAGCGACAACAACCAACGATAATTGACATGTCCCCGGGTCCACGCTGAGATTACCGCTTACTTAACATCCGAGCATTTTAGAGACGGAAACAGTAGGAGGGTACAATTTTGTGGGAAATTTTGATGCGAATAACAGAATAACAGGTGAAATAAACAATAGAAAAACGTATTTTGAAGTTAAAATGAGGAGATAATTCATTCTGCAGGATACGGCTAGCGGGAACCACGTCTGGTGGTTGTCACACACCACGACCGCTGTGCAACAGGTGGCCGGGTCATAACGTCAACTCACTGGTCGCCGGCAATGCCAACACAGTGCGTCCGACTAGTTTATAGTAATGACAGCGAGCGTAATAGCTCGGAGGCGTGCGTTCGCTCACACACGCTCACTAATTCACCTAGAATAGCACAGGCGAAGCTCCACATTGCCATCGTTAGCAGCGGTGAAGCGTCGTCACTAGACGGTGCGGATAAATATCTCCTAGATGCTGAGCAGCATCCGCGTACGTCTGAGTCTGTCGCTGCTGGGTGTCGCCGCCGCGTCACCCTGCACTGTCACTCCGAGAGTTCAGTGACGACGACGGCAGGGTCAGCTTTCCTTACGTCGCTTGCCGGACGAATGATCAAGGTACAGCGCACACATACCGGAGATCGCACGGCCTAGCGATCGTGGCTCCGCGATACCTCAAGGTATCCGGGAATATACGGGATATCCGGGAGCGAATCCGGGAAAGCCGATGAAGAAGCGAGCGCGCTAGCATCACCTTGCAGCTCAGTCACGTGAGCTGATCGACAGTGTAGATTCCATCCGGGCTACAGTGGCGACTCTCTTACTGGAAACCTGATGATGCAGCCCGCGTGCGACGCTGATCGGTGCTAACCTCCCGCACGCTCGCCACACGACACGTCACCCGCAGGTGACACACAGTGTAGCTTCACTATTCGTCGCCGTACAGCGCGACGCTCGGCGCGACAAAGGACGCCTGCAGAAACCGATCTTCACTTCTCACTGTCAGCCCCTCACTCACGAGGCAGCAGCAGCAGCAGCAGCAGCGAGGAAGCGAGCAGCGAGGGTGCAGCGTAGTACAGCCTGATGAATCACCGGCGGACGGAGCTCGCGTACGAACGTCGCGTCGATGACAGAGGAAGTGGGGCAAGGGGAGGGGGAGAGGAGGCGAAGGAGGTAAGGAGCGGGAGGAGGAGAGGGGAGAAGAGGAAGGAGGGGGAAGGGGAGGAGGCAGCCGCACGCACACCACCGGCTAGCGAGCAGCGAGTTCCATGTACGATCCTCACTCCGATCCAGCAGGGCTTCTTCTCACCACACGTGCCTCCTTACGGAAGAGCGATAGCAGCCGGGGCTTCTCTCACCCCACGTGCCTCCTCACGGAGGAGCGATAGCAGCCGGGGCTTCTCTCACCACACGTGCCTCCTCACGGAGGAGCGATAGCAGCCGGGGCTTCTCTCACCACACGTGCCTCCTTACGGAGGAGGGAGACCATATGCAGCCGGGGCTTCTCTCACCACCAGGCTTCGACGTGGGCTTGACGGCATACACCGCATAAGTGTTGCACTTTGAGCGCATCCTGCCCATTCGAGCGGACACAGACTACGGTCGAATAACGTTCTCGCATGCAACGGCAACCGCTGAGTACTCGAATGACTGACTCAGTGTTGCTGATCTGGGACGGCGCATGTACGGCTCATCACGCCACGTCACGCGATCACGCAGCGAGGTGCCGAGCAAACACGGAGAATAACCAGCGCTGCACGGTGCACGCGTCACTGCGCGAGCACTCCTGCTTCACAAAGCTTCTCCTACGTGACTGAAAACGCTTCCTCTTCCAGCCTAGCTAACCTCGTAGATGTCAGCAGAACATCCCAGCTCCTGCATCGATGTTCGATACGAAGCGCTGCGAATCCAACACGGTCGGTAACGTCTTCGCTACTCGAAGCTTAATACGCAGCATCACAGCAGCGACTGCTGCCTTCGTGACATCTTCCTGCTTCGAGCGGCTACTGCAGCAACCTCACTGCAGCCGCGCGGTAAGACGCGAGCGCACAATAACACAATCGCGCGCGGACTTCTGCGAGCACGCAGCCGTCTACATGCTCTCCCCGAGCTCACGTTTAGACTGCCGCCGCCGCCGCCGCCACCTTCACGCGGCCTGTCCACGCAGTACACAGCGATTAGCTAAAGGCTGTTCGTCGCACACTACAGGTTACTGTAATTACTTCACTCGCCGTGCATCACTCGGCATCTCATACACAGCAACCCTGTGCATCAGCACAAGGCTGCTAGTGAGGCGAGGCGAGGCAACGTGCCTGCTGCGGTGCAGGGTATAATGTGCCGATTTTCGTAAGCTGTGACAAAATGATCGCGATGCTCGAATCCGAACGAATTTGCGATGGCAGTTCTGCACGCAGGCACAAGCAGGACTACAAGCAGTCTCAGCGAACCCGCCACCAACATTCTGCCTATGGCAGTGGGCGCGCAACGCGGTGCTGCATCATAAGCCGTCTCGACTTACATTCGAAATTTTACGAGAGCTACGAAAACTGACGGCAACACACAAAAACAATCACTGCTAAAAACCTCGCAAACGATAGCGGCAATGCAATTCTAGTCGCAAGCGGTACCGCGACGCTGCGACAGGTGGCAGAGGAGAAAGTGGCCTCAGTCTCCCGTGAAGCCATTTTATTTCCTCATCTCTTCGGACGAGCCACACTTGCCTCGGTCATTGCCTCTGGCGTGGCGATGCCGAGACGAGTCACGATAGACGCATGTCGCATATCAACAGCGCAATGCCGGTGGGTGGAAGAGGGGGCAGGCAAACAAAACCCATGGCTGTAGCGCATCCACGTTCCGACACGCCGTTCACGACTAAAACGCGGAAGAGAGGAAAAGCCGACGGCCTGAAAAAGAGGGGGTTTTCGTAACCATAGCAACGTGTGCTCCACAATTTGCAGACGGCTGCACGCCGCAGCCCGACGGATGATGAATCACCGCTGTGCGGCCCCGCTGCTCGCCGCCGACCACCAGACACGGGGGCTGAGGAGAACAGACGTGTGTCCGTCACAGACGGACAGACGCGCCGTCGCCATGCCGACGAACGGACACAGACGATGATGCCAATCAGAATGACGTTGAACGCGTACGCCGCTTTCCATGTGCCGTCTCATTTGCGTATCGTGCGATACAACGTACGAATGCGAGGCATTGTGGAGCTCATATCTTCCTAACTATCCTCGCCTCTCTACGGACTGTGTGACAGTAAAGCTGCCACTGCCAGGAAAGCTAGCTGTCGGATAATACTGATCGCATAATTAATGGCATTGCAAAAGAAAGCTGTTACGTATTAACATATGTGTGACTTGATTCATGACAGTCTGTCCTACATAATTTTGAATACGTAATGAAGGTGTTAATCAACACTCGAAAATATGTATATTTTATATTTTAAATTATGTATCTAAAAACTTATTACAAGTTTGAAATTTATTAATGATAATTAATCAAATTCAATGGAGAGATATCACATGTCATCGGCATATATATATGTGCGTGCACTAAGTCATGCACACGCAAGCACGCACACACGCGGCTGTATGCATAACAATTGTTTTTGAAAGCATGGTTTTACACTGAAAGAAAGAAAATGTGTCCATGTCAAGATGTTTTTTATTAAAACATATATATAAGAAAGAGAGAGAGAGAGAGAGAGAGAGAGAGACAGCAAGAGAGATAGAGAGAGAGAGAGACAGCAAGCGAGATAGAGAGAGAGGGGGAGAGGGAGAGAGAGCACGAGAGAGATAGAGAGGGAGGGAGGGAGAAAGTGAGAGAGGGAGAGAAAGAGGGGGAGAGAGAGAGAGGAGGAGGGAGGGAAGGGGGGAGAGAGATAGATAGCGAGAGAGGAGGGAGAGAGCAGTGATTGATGTACAGATTTTAGAGACCTGGAAATGTCTACAGTCATGAATCAGACCAGTGGTGCCACCTATTTTACAGTTAGGAAACGATATTGTTGGGATAGTTGCGGCTGTATGCATAACAATTGTTTTTGAAAGCACGGTTTTACACTGAAAGAAAGAAAATGTGTCCATGTCAAGATGTTTTTTATTAAAACATGTATATAAGAGAGAGAGAGAGAGAGAGACAGCAAGAGAGATAGAGAAAGAGAGAGAGACAGCAAGAGAGATAGAGAGAGAGGGGGAGAGGGAGAGAGAGAGCACGAGAGAGATAGAGAAGGAGGGAGGGAGAGAAAGAGGGGGAGAGAGAGCGAGAGAGAGAGAGAGAGAGAGAGAGAGAGAGAGAGAGGGAGGGAGGAAGGGGGGAGAGATAGATAGCGAGAGAGGAGAGAGAGAGAGAGCAGTGATCGATGTACAGATTTTAGAGACCTGGAAATGTCTAGTCATGAATCAGACCAGTGGCGCCACCTATTTTACAGTTAGGAAACGATATTGTTGGGATAGTTGTCACATCTCATTTTACACTCATAATACCAAGAGCGTATTAATATGCTCTTGATAATACTGATTGAATTTCATTGTAAAAGCACAAGGAAAACTTAACCAGCACGTCTAAATGAGCGCTGAGATCAGTTCATTATCGCAACACTAAGTTGACAAGAGACCGACTTTTTACGGAGGCAACGATGCCATCGGTTACCAAATGCCATTTGCTGAAAGGTTTTCACTTATCTGCGATTGAATGCAACGCGACCAGGTGACTACTCCATCGCTAAACAGCATTTCAATCTACACTATTATCGTTTTCAAAATGCAATCAGATGTAGCTTCTGGATTAATACAGCTCCATCTATAAAGTCTGTAGATGTAGATGTAGAACCACACAGAGCCGAGAGGAGAAAAGGTATAGATGATTAGTTGTTTTTCACAATACACCAAACTGCACAGAATCTGACATACAACTTGAAATCGTGCATTGATCTTACTTTCACCAGATTGGACTAGGTACGAGAAACACAGTGATCTTGTGATAACCACATTGCAGGGAGGGGTAAGTAATTACTCAAGGGCTATAAGGTTTTGAGGCAGTGCGCGAAATTAGTGCTGTTTTGCCGGTGGCCGCCGGTTTAACCCCCCATATAATCAGTCCACTTGGCCTATTCAAAATTTTGCCTATCTTACTTAAATATCAACAATATTTACCAATTTCCTGACTAGTTCTTACTTAGTGACTACTAAGAAGTAAATCATGTTCCAGCAATTCCTGTCACACAAATAGAACTCCACCGATACAGTTATAGCAATGAAATACTGAAATACTACAAGTATACCTATAGAGTAGATATAGTATGCCTAATAAACACAAAGCTAATACTTTTATCAATATTGGAAGAAATTGAACAAAAGTAAGGGCCTGTTCAATTTGTCTAAGGGCCTGTTGAAAATTTTGGGTGGGCCTGTTCACATTTTGGCTAATTTCATGCCCTGTTGAGGCTACGCACAAACA